TTGTCATGTCCTCTGGGCTTGTCTTGTACCAAGCTGTCCTTAGGTATCATTCTGGGTTTTCCAATAATCTTTCTCATCATATCAGGAAGATATTGTAGTTGCAAAAATGCCTGTTGCAGATCCTTCAAGTGAGTATCTCTGTCTAAAGGGTTGGAGCATCCTATGCTATAGTCGCATCTGCATCCACATGGACTGAATCAAGACCTAGGTTTCCTTTCTCATTACCAATGCTGATTTCTCCACACCTACTACCTCTCTGCATATCACACTTAACCCAATCACACTTTCTATTGCCATTTGCCTGCTAACGTCATTTGGTATCTGAAATATATAGAACAGATGGACTCACATTCCAACTGTATCTGAAGAAGCAAGCAGTGACTCACAAAAGCTCATACCCTACCACCAATTTTGTTGATCTTTAAGGGGCTACTGGACTCTTACTCTTTTCTACTGTTTCTAGAGCTCTAGGCCAGGGTTGTCCTGGTCTGGTTCTCTGCAAATTCATAGTAGACCCTGCACTCCTGCAGGCTGCTAGTAGGGAGACTGAAAGGAGCAGCACTGAGCCCCTTCTACTCTTGCTTGCTCTGAGGCCTACTGGAATAGCCTCTCAAAGAGTCTATTTCTGCTTTAAAAAACTTCATTTCCTCCCAGGAAGACTGTGCCCTTCCCTTTCCTGTATTCAAGGCTGCTAACCAGAAATAAGCAATAAATCCAAAGTCCACTGAAAGTACACAATCCAATAACTAAAGGACAATTCAGTTAGTTAAACAGCATTTATGGGAGCCTGACTAGATGGTGAGAGAGAAATATCAGCAAGAGCTGTTGGCTGGATCCCAAAAGACCCACAGGCTCACATGGTCAGAAGCAGTCCTTCAGATATGTGGGTACCGGACCATGAAAACCTTTAAAAATTACTACCAGCATCTGTAATGGAACCTAGGATCAAACCGGCAGCCAGTCCAGCTGCAGCTTGAATATGATCTCACCATTCCCAGACAGAAGATGAGCAGCCACATTTTGCAATGGCTGAAGTTTCTGAGTTCTCATCAAGGGCAGCCACATAGAATGCACTGCAGCAATGAAGATGGGGAGGTTACTGATACATGGATCGGCACGCCAAGAGCAGATCTATCCAGGTTTAGCAGGAACAGTAATCACCACACAACAAAGATGGGGAAATCCACTTTAAGGCAATAGACCTTGGTCAAGCAGAGCTCCAACTTTTTACCTGTTCTGATGGAAATACAGAAACAAAATCCGCCATAAGACTATCTGTCTCTTCTAAGGCTTCTTCCCTTCTCTTCTCTTCCTTACCAGCATCTCCTCTGGGTTCAGTTTCAGGGTATTCTTGCTCATCCACTTGACCATGACTTCTAGGTTTTGGTTCAAGACAGAAGCAAAACCTGTTCTTCTCTACCAGCTGAGGCCCAGATAACAAGTTTCAGGCCATCTATAATATGAAGGCTATAAGGTGGCAAAGAAGGGACAGGATTCCATATAGTCATCAGGCTTCCCAGGAACAACAGTCTCAGAGAGAAGAAAACCTCTCCAATAAGGTGCATTTTCCTTCAAAAATCCTACCTCAGGGTCACACGGAGAATTTGCCACGTGAAAGGCATGGATGACGGGCGGATTTCGGGGCACGATCACAACGCAACATCTGGGAAGCGTAGCGCACCTGTGGCCAACCCGTGGTGTCCCGCCGAAGATGCAGTTTAAAAGTACCTAGGAAAGTGCACTAGTATCCGGAAAACGTGCAGCACAGGCGGGCGTCTGATTGCAGGAGCGCTAGTATCCCGTGGCGTCCAGCGCCTGTCCACATCCCATCGCAAACCGGATGTTTTTCGTAAACGCATGCAAACACGAAACTGAAAGCAGTAACTGCCCATGCACACAAACGCGAAACGCTTGTGTGATCGTGCTGCACCACTTCTTTGCCACGCTGCAGCATCGTGTGATCGCCAGCTAACAGACGAAGCAAGGAGACTCGGGGGACCGTGTGATCGGGCTTCGGTGCTTTATTTTTCTCCGGGGCAAATAGCCACGCCTCCCCTCCATGTTATCTGTCCCGTGTGACCGGGGCCTCAGTGAGGTAACTATGACTACCTACCTCCAACACACCTCTTAACTGCCCTGAGATGTCCTCTTGTGATACAAGGACCAAAGAGACTCCATTTTGAATTTCTGATTGAAGATGAGAAATAATAGATCAATAGGGAAATTACACGGCTTGCTTGTAGAATAGCAAAAAAGGAGGGGAATTCTACTGTATGGTATGCCAGGTACTGTGAGAGAAACCAGACGGTTGCTTAACAGCTTAAGATAGCATTCCATCCTACCCTTTTAATTAATGGCAGGATCGTAATGGTATCAAGAACTCTATTTGGTACCTGCACAGTCAAATATTGGCCCCGGTCACACGGGCCAGATAACGTGGGGGAGAGCAAAATAAAGCACGGTAGCCTGATCACGTGGTCCCCCGAGTCTTTGCGCTTAGGCTGTTAGCTGGCGATCACACAGCGATGCTGGAGTGTGGCAAAGAAGCGGCGCAGCAAGCATTTCACGTTTGTGCGCATGCACAGTTCCGTGGAACAGCATTGCTTTCAGTTATGTGTTTGTGCGCATGCGCTTACGAAAAACATCCGGTTTGCGACGGGATGTAGACAGGCGCCGGATGCCACAGGATACTAGGGCTCCCACGATCAGATGCCCCGCATTTTCCGGATACTAGTGCACTTTTTGAGGTAGTTTTTTACTGTGCATCTTCGGCAGGATGCCACAGGTTGGCCACGGGTGTGCTACGCTTCCCAGATGTTGCGGTGTGATCATGCCCCAAAAATCCGCCTGACATTTGTGCCTTTAGCGCAGCAAATCCTCCGTGTGAACAGGGCCATTGATGAGAAACAGAAGACACTAATGGGAGTATAGGTATACAGTTGAAGTAAATGTAATTTTTAAGGAATGTAAGATGGAAGTGAAAAACAGGTGAAGAATATGTGACCATAGCCATATATGGGTGGACCAGTACATGATCCCGTTAAGGTATGGACATATTTGTGCATGGTTATAAAAAGCTTGTAACTTGAGTGTCTTTGGAATGCAGGCTTTTGATGCTTGGGTTCCCCTTTGTTCGAATAAAGTTTTCCTGCTCGCTTCAAAAGCCTCACTGGTTGTGTTTCTGATTAGGATAAACATACCAGGCAATGGTCCATTTGGCTAACACTTTCTTTCCTCATTTGTTAATTTACCCAGGACAATTTGACCAACCGGATAGCATACCCGTTAGTTCACCTAGATTTCCAATCCTTTCCTCCAAGCCTATTTAGATCCTCCATAATACTTTAAAAATATGGTCATGCTGTTTAATGAGACCATGGCCTCTACGTTTCTAGGGATTAATAACTCTAAACATTTAAACTGCTGTGTTGTCCACTTAAAGGGTCACCTTTTAATGCTTCTGCTTTAATTGTTAATGATCTCAAGCTAATTGCAAAAGACTGCAAGTGATACCTATTAGTAACTGCATGTGCACTGGGTTCTGTGTAAAATAATCTGATCCATTTAATAAATTCTTAAGGTAGACCCATTATTTCTAGGAAAAAGGATTGTTTCAAACAAAAGTCCAAAGCACTGTAACTAGAATCTGTCCCCAAATCATGCTCTTTGTACCCATATTCCTCTCTTGCTGTATCCTACATACAGCGCCTTACCACATTCACCCCTGCCTTCAAAGTTCCTGCATGCCTCTGCAGGTTTCATCCTCAAGTGCAACTACAGAAAATTTCTATTCCTAGCACATTGTTTTTCCCCTCTCCTCTTTCCCCCTGTGTTTACCTTTTGAATTCCCAAGCATTTAGGATACCTACCTGAGGATCTAGATCTCTGCCTAGGACTTGAGTGGATAGGGTTGTGATGGGCATCATTCAAGAAGGGAACGGGACAGAGGCTAAACCACACAGAAGACTTGGAAAGGTAATAGGGAACATCTGACTGTTAATGGCAGCAGTCACACATACCAAGTAATCCACTTTCAATGCACTTTCCAACTGGATTTTACTGTGTGAACTGGCGAAATCCAGTTGGAAAGTGCATTGAAAGTGGATTATTTAGCGTGTGTGACCATAGCCAATGCATGATTTCTAACAATTATGGTTAAGTGTAATTGCTTGGAAGTGTTAATGATTCCCTTCAACAAAACTCTCCCTAATTTCATGATGCTCTAGATCTCAGTACTACTTCTAAACTAACTTCAGGCACTTAAGAATGTGTTTATACTAAACTAACTTCTAACTTCAGGCACTTAAGAATGTGTTTATGAGCCTTAAAGTGAACATTTAAGATCCCGTACTATCAGCTATCCAGAAAGAAATGGTTTGCTACAGGCATGCTATTCCATCCTCATAATGTGAACGTATATTCATCTCTGTGTTGAAGGACACAAACCTAAGGTAGTATCTGAGGTATGCTTGAATGCCATTTGGGGGAAATGTGCTGAAGGGTGTGTGAGTGTGTGTACATACGCACAACTGTAGCTCAGGGGCTTGCAGGTGTTAATTCACTGGTGAGCAAGAGACATTCAGCACACTGACAGTCGTGCACAGGCAGCAACACAAAAAGTAGTACTGATGAAGCTGTCCACATTTTACCAACTACTCTCACTTGCGGTTGATGCTATTTAGAAGAGAAGATGAAAATAGGAATCAATGGGTAACTGGGAAGTTCATGAATGGGGCACAAGAGAATGAACTTGGGCCACTTACAGGACAGCAAACGGTTCTAGACCATGCTTACAACTTCTTGTTGCCCATCCCTTGAGGGGCAGCTTGGTAGAATATCGCTGCTGCATTTCCCCCTCATATATTTGCATGTGATTGGGCGAGAGACCGGAATATTCATTCTTTAAAAAAAAAAAAAAAGGCTGGAAACACAGAACGATGTATCCCTAAATAGTCGAGATCACATTGTAGCTACAATACAGACATAAATTAAGTCCTATACAAAACGCCCAAAAGATATATTTATTTGTTCAAAATCCACCCCAGACTTCTCATTTCGATACACAAAAGCTCTGCAATATATTTTTAAGAGATAAACTTGTCAGCAACAGGAACTGGAAGGGCACCGAGCCACATCCCATGACAAAGGAATCCTCGCTCTCATAGGATATCTTCCTTCTGCAGACTGATCGGCCCCCGCTTCCTTTTGAGCCTTCATAGGCAAGCAATAGGCTCAGGACATATGCTCTCTAGGGAAGAGCATAAACCTCTGGGTTTCGAGAAGTGCAAGCAATTCTAGCTTTATTGTGGAATGCCTTATTCTTTGCAACTGAAAGAGCAGGACAGGTACTATCAGAGCAGAAGGAAGCACAGCCCATTACTATGGAGGATGACACGAACACTGGGGGAAAAATCCTGGATTCATGACTTATTTGCCATTCCTCTGGAAGTAGTCGCGGTGCTCATTTTCCATCTGGTACGTTAGCTGTTGCATAGCTATTACACCAGTAGCAAGCAGCACGATGAAGAGGACGACGAACAGGATGCTCAGTAACAGTGCAGCAATATTCAGACTCTTGGCTGTATGGCCATAGCTGGCTGCACCTTCAACGTCTCCAACAACTTTCCGATCCCTTGCCTAAAGAGAAGGGGGAGAAGAAAGAATATACTTAAATGGTGAGACTTAACAATCTTTCAACTACAGTTTCAATGGGCTTTGCCTTGCTATTATGTAATCGTCTTGCAAGCTTAGCTCCTCTTCATTAATTCTTGTTCTCCAAACAGTGGCCTTCTACTTCAGTTTCAGGGGTAGCTGTAGGCTACTGGAGCAAAACAAAACACAAGTCCGGTGGCACCTTAAAGACTAACAGCATTTGTTCCAGTGTACGCTTTTGTCAACTCTGACCCCGGTCACACCGCAGGAAAAGCTGTGGTGGAAGTGCGGCTTTTTAGAGCCGCAGCAAAAGAGAAGCGCGGCAGTGGGATCAGACAGGTCTCCCGAGCCGCCCCGCATATGCTCCCCACCATGATCAGATGCCGAGGGGGAAGCCACGGACAGGAGAGCGAGGAGAGTCAGTTGTGCATGTGTGCGCATGCGTTCGGCAGGGGGCCTCGCATGCTGCAGGAGACGGGCACATCGGCGATCACATGGCTGCCCGTGCTGTGGCTTTTCCAGTGGGTAGTAGTATTTTGCAGGGTTTTTAAAACTCCACATCTTTGGCAGGAAGGGACGGGTGCGCGACGCTTGACAGATGTTGGCATCTGATCGCGCCAGTTTAATCTGCCCTCAATCCGTCCGTTCCGCGGGGCAAATCCTCCCATGTGACCGGGGCCTCCATTTCACAAACGTTCATACTGGAATAAGTGTTGCTAGACTTTAAGGAGCCAGTGGACATCTGTTTTGTCGTCCTCCTACTCTGGCCTCAGCTTCATCTCCCTTCAGTCATAATGGGTCACTACCTTCATTCCAAAATCAACCACATCAGTATCATTGTGATTTCTTACTGCCCCTTCAGCTGTCAAACCATCAAGTAGTAGGATTAAAGAAGAGAATTTCCCCTCTAATGCACCAAAATATACCCTTACAATATTCCTGTCGATGTTAGCTTCTTTGCTTTCAAAGACTTTGGATTTATCAGGTGAACATATTGCATGGAGAAACCCATGCATCTCAAAGGTAGAGGAGAACTTTATTACATTGTCTATCGCATTTACTGCACTGTTCTCCTATATTGTAATTCCTGCTTTACTGTCTTTATTACACTGTGTTTGATTACAATCTTCTCTCATTTTTGTGTGTGTTGAATGTGTTCTACCATTCCTTAATCAAGGGGTCACAGGCCCACCACCAACCTCACTTCAAGCTATTCATTATTTCCTCCTGTTCTAGCATAGCTCATCTCCATTAGTTCTTAGGTCATTTCAGAAGAACGAGGAAAAACTTGTTGTATTCCGACAGCATACACATTTACCTGAAACTACACTACACCAAGTTCAAAAGGATTATCTCCTTAGTAAGTGCACATTGGGTGGCAACTCAAGTAGCATTTTTGAGCATTCAAAGCACTGCGCATACATGATCTTGGTCATCATGAAAACAAGCCAGCAAGGAAGGTAAGCATTTTCCATCTGCAGCAGATAAGAGTACAGAGATTGCAAATGATGTTATTAAAAGTAAATAAAGGTCAATTGACCATGGAATCTATGTGTCGCTTGCCCCTGATTTCTAGGGGGTTTGTTTTTAAACTATGCCAATAATTCTATTTCATGTGTACTAAAATTCAAAGACTTTTTTTGCTATAAGAAAGCGAGCCACTTCAGCTGGTTGTTGCACTGCCTTGCACTTACTGGCCAACTGGTTAC